GGGCACATAGGGCTGGGCTTACACGTATTTCAACAAAATGATTCACAAAATCATCTTGTATCTCCTGAGGCACAATTGCAAAATAGTACCTGCCATGGCATGTGCCAAGAAGCAGTGACATTTTGGCTGAGATCATGTGCATGAGCTGCTTTAGACCTTTTAAAATTCACACAATCCTGACAGAGAAGGGCTACAGTTCCTTGGAGCTATCTGATCTTTTAGGAGTACTCAGTGGTTGGACAACACAGCACTGAATTCAACATTCATTGCCAAGAAGATGGAATTTTATAGCAATTATACAAGAATTTTTAAAACAAAGAGAGGTGGAAGGAGGGACTAAACCCAGGACCTATCCTTGCAACAGAATCATGATCCATCTTCAGTTCCGTGAATCTTGCATTTCTGTAAAACGACATCAGTTCAGTATTAATCCCAGGCACATCCGTATCCTGGAACACTCTTCTGGAAAACAGGTGCCTGGGTTAGAACCTCATCTTTTTAACACAGGTCCTCAATCCACCTCTTCTATTTGTTGTTCCATCATTCACCCAGCAAGTAAATTACAGTGCAAAAGGTGAGTGTCCTGTTCCCTCCACACCCCTGAGTCAAAAAGCATAATTTCAGGGTCATAGCAATTGTTGTATCACAGTGTTATATACATCCCGGATTCTCACTGCAGTAGTAACAAGTGCTACAGTCTCAAAAACCTTCCCCAGTAAATTAAGGAAAGCTACCTTGTGTTCGTACACATTTAGTTCTGCACAGGACTAATGAGCTTGGGAAGAGCACCCCACTAGCTCACTTACACCACACGGAGCTGCACAGCAGACGCATCAGCCCTCTCCAAGCCAGCCCACAGACCTCTAACCCAGCAGCAGGCAGACATATCCTTATTGCTTTGCAGGGGACGCCTCAAGTTCCACACAACTGCCTAAGTTGGTCATACTTTCAGTAACACATTATTTCAGCACAAGGTTGTCTCACCTAAACTGAGACCAGAAGAAAACGCAAAGATTCTCTATTCTGATCATTTGCACAAAACAAGTTCCTCCATTAATTCTTGCATCAAGCCCAATAGCTTGTGATAGATGGAACATATCTTTCAGACAGGGAAGTCTGCTCAGTGCCAAATTGCTCTGTATGTAGGCAAACAGTGATACAGACACAGCATTCTACAGAGCAAGGAATAATTTATTTTAGAGGACATTGAAAGTAGGAGAAAAGCTATTTAAAATACAAGCAAAAGGGACTGCTTTTTTAATGAGGACTAGGTATTCAAATAAAAAGATTAAAGAGATAAGGTAAAAACATATTTTAGTAAGAATAACAGTATTTTTTTCAAATAAACAGAAAATCTGAATAATTAATCTGACAAACAGCCACAGACCCAGCAAGTAAATTACAGTGCAAAAGGTGAGTGTCCTGTTCCCTCCACACCCCTGAGTCAAAAAGCATAATTTCAGGGTCATAGCAATTGTTGTATCACAGTGTTATATACATCCCGGATTCTCACTGCAGTAGTAACAAGTGCTACAGTCTCAAAAACCTTCCCCAGTAAATTAAGGAAAGCTACCTTGTGTTCGTACACATTTAGTTCTGCACAGGACTAATGAGCTTGGGAAGAGCACCCCACTAGCTCACTTACACCACACGGAGCTGCACAGCAGACGCATCAGCCCTCTCCAAGCCAGCCCACAGACCTCTAACCCAGCAGCAGGCAGACATATCCTTATTGCTTTGCAGGGGACGCCTCAAGTTCCACACAACTGCCTAAGTTGGTCATACTTTCAGTAACACATTATTTCAGCACAAGGTTGTCTCACCTAAACTGAGACCAGAAGAAAACGCAAAGATTCTCTATTCTGATCATTTGCACAAAACAAGTTCCTCCATTAATTCTTGCATCAAGCCCAATAGCTTGTGATAGATGGAACATATCTTTCAGACAGGGAAGTCTGCTCAGTGCCAAATTGCTCTGTATGTAGGCAAACAGTGATACAGACACAGCATTCTACAGAGCAAGGAATAATTTATTTTAGAGGACATTGAAAGTAGGAGAAAAGCTATTTAAAATACAAGCAAAAGGGACTGCTTTTTTAATGAGGACTAGGTATTCAAATAAAAAGATTAAAGAGATAAGGTAAAAACATATTTTAGTAAGAATAACAGTATTTTTTTCAAATAAACAGAAAATCTGAATAATTACACTGACAAACAGCCACAGATATAAGAAAAGAATGCAGTAAACCTCAAAATGCATACCTATTCCATCAAATTGCTAAATTCTGCTCCATATTTACAGGCTAAGTGCGTTTTATAAACTACGTGGCCCTGCAGTGCCAGAATGATAATCTTACTGATGGTATAACATACTAGTACTAAACATGTTACAAACCAAGCAGGAAACAGACCAGAGAAGAAGATAAATGCCGAATACACATAGAAAAGCCTCAACCTATTTACTTCTTTTCTCCAGTAAAGATTCATTAATAATGGGGAATACAAGGCACATAAACTAGTTTTGGCAATACTTGGGGGGGGGGGAGAGCAGTGAATGGGAATAACAACATGTGAAAAAGCTGTTGATC